CTGTGTGATATAATCTCTTACTAAAATCTTGAACCTCTGTTGTGTATTACTATTTCATGTATGTTAGTCCTATCTTCCAAATAGTGTGTAAGTTTCCTGTGGGTAGAAAACATGTCCCAAACTTTTGTAATGTTTTCATCAACTAGCCTACTGCCAAGCACAAAACAGACATTTCAGCAAGTATTGACTAAGTAATCTGGGGTGCTTGTCCCAAAATAAAATAAACCTGAAATTGAAATCTCAGCTTCATTTATGACACTTCTATAGGCTTAATTTCGACATTTAACATGTATATACATTATAAATTTTTATCCTAAACACAGTAGTTCTTTTAAAATTTCTGACAAAAGTTGTGCATATCCCCTGAAGTCATCTAAATAGTCTGCTTTTCCTTACCAATATCTTGGGCATCCTGGTTGCTTTGTCTTGTTCTCATCTGCAGCTGGAACTTATGCTGGGAAGAGCAGAGGTGCAGCAGGTACTGGCACACCCTACTGTTTTCTGTCTGGAAGGCATGCTTTATACCATCTGATGTGTTCTGCAATGTGATTTTCTTTTTCTGAAATATAAATCAAAGGCATTCAAAATTAGAATGCTTTCCTATGATCTTTTACATGACCAAATACTATGACCTATTAATAAGTAGAGATATTATTTATATTTCCCGTTATAAGGCATTTTTTGACCTACATCTAATATAAATATGTGTATAGAAAATATAACCATATGCAAGTCATGAACTGCTTAGCAATGAAGATATATTTTGGAAGTGCACTGTTTGGTGATTTGGTCATTTTGCAAACACAGAGTGTACATACACAAACTTACGGGGGATAGCTTACTGGACACCTAGATGATATATTATAGCCAACTGCTCAGAGGCTACAGACATATACTGTACATTACTGTAAAGAATACTGTAAAAAATAACACAATAGCAAGTATTTATGTAAACATATCTAAACACTGAAAAAGTATAGTAAACACACAATATTATAGTCTTATGGGACTACCATTGTATACATGGTTCACAGTTGACCAAAAACATTATTATGTGGCATATTATTATAAACAAATTCAGGAAATAAATTAACATTACTTGCCACTTTCAGAAACTGTAGCCTAAATAAGATTGTATATAGCAGCCAATAGCAAGGAAAACAATTTCCTTTAATAAGATTATTAATCTTTTGAGTTTATGTGAATATTTACACACACAAAAACTATTTGAAATAGAGATGACAAGAAATACTTGTTCTACTCTATTGGTTTTTAAAAAACTGAAGTTCAACAAGAATTTTCTTTTAATAATATTTAATGATAAGAGCTATGATTCAGT